TAACAACAACAACAACAACAGTGTAGCATTGTAGGATCAGCACTGAACTGCTAACAGCAAGGTTCATGGTTCAACCCCAGCCGCTGCTCCTCAGAAACCCTACAGAGTTGCGATGAATTGGAACTGACTTCATGACACTAACAACAACACAACCGTCTTTATGAAAGCAGACTGCCACACGTCTACCAAGGTGGGTTCAAACTGGCATCCTTTGGGTTAGCAGTCAAGTGCTTACCCACTGTGCCACCAAAGCTCATGTATACTACCCACAAACTATACATCTATGGTTGTGGTGGTAGTGTGCCATGGAGTTAGTTCCAACTCTTATAGTACACAACTGTACTACCCACAAATTCTCAACTTCTTAATAGGAAAAAATATATTTGAACCAAGAAGAATGGGAGATTAGGAAAATTCATCTTAATATCTTTCAACAATTCTTTTTCTCTTTATACCTACTGCCACTGAGTCAATTCTCACTCATAGCGACCCTGAGGCTAAATCTTTACTGGAACAGCCAGCCTCATCGTTCTCTGCTGAGTGACTGGTACGTTTGGATCCCTGACCTTTTGGTTAGCAGTCTGACATCTAATCCTCAGTGCCACCAGGGGTCCTTTTTCTCTTTGTAGTATGACATTAAAAAGAATATATATATATATATACATACACACACACCATGCAACTTTAGAAGTGGAAGGAAGGAATTAGAAATCTTCTACTCCAAGTTGCTCATTTAAAGATGAGGCAGTAATTAATATGCCTTGAGAGATAAATGACTCCTGAAATCAGTGTGTCCTATAACAATCCACTTAAATAATATATTGCTGGGTGTTAATGTTTTGTTGTGCTGATTCTGGGAGAATTTCTGCCTTTCTTGGTCCTATTTCCAGATATTGTTATAATCTGTGCCTCTCTCTTTTCAATCACATTTCATCCCTTTGTAAATATGAAATCTTTTTGTTCTTTAAAAATTTCCCCACCTTTCCCGAAATCATTGAGTGTATGAGGACAATCACAAATAAAGATTTAGGAATTCTCAGCCTTCATCAACTGTGCCATCCTCTCACTCCCCCTTCTTTTCTGTGTGGTGATCTTCAGCCTTCTGGGTATGCTAAGAATTTTCAGAATTGAAACCAAAACGGTATTATCATCATTGTAAGGTAATTATAGTATTACTTGTTTGAGGTTATGTGATTTCCTAATCTATTTTGACTGTGACATCTAAGTTTAAAGTTGTTGTTAGCTGCCATATAGTTGGCCCCTGACTCCTGACAATCCTGTTCACAGGAAGCTCTGTCCACTGCGATCATGTAAGTTTTACTGGCTAATTTTCAGAAGCACAGTGCCTGGCCTTTCTTCTTCGTTTGTCTTAGTCTGGAAGCTCACTGAAACCTGCCAAGCATCATGGCAGCACACAAGCCTCCACCGACAGATGTGTAGTAGCTGCAGTGAAATTCATTGGTGGGAATCGAAGCTCGGTCTCCGCCATGGAAAGCAAGAATCTACATGAACCTTTCAGATTGCACCTAAGCTTAAAGTTTCATTAAATGAGTATTTAATAGAGCATGCAAGTTTATTTTATCTGAATGCTTAGAGAAGAGTCAGTAATTAAGTAGGAACTTTTAGAGGAGACAAGGAAAGTTACATGAAGTCTAAACGAAATCCTTAGAAAAGTAGGAATAAGTGAAGTTCATCAGAATGGTTTGATGCTACACAGTTCAGGTAATTTACAATGGGAAAGATGCACACCACATACTTCGTCGTTGCTTGTCACATTTCTGCAACCATCCATGCCTGGTCTTCTGGATCCATCTGGACAGATGGCAGTAATGTTAAAATAGACACCTTGTACCTGGTTTTCCACCTGAACTTTCACTTCTGAAATGAGCTTCTGTAAAGACATCATTTTTTTTTTAGTGACATTAATAAGGTGGTATCAAATGTAAGCAACAAAACAGAGTCAAGTTTATAACTCATTCTAAATTTGGTATTTAAGTAAATTATTGAAATCCCATCTCTAAAGAAAGACGAACGAACACTGTTACGCCGTAATTACCAGTTATATTTCAAATACCTAAACCGAAATGCTGAAGTATCAACTATCTCCGCTTAAATTGCTCTATCTCTGCACATGTTTCCAGGACTGTGTTACAGAAATAACCAAGAATACATTATATGACAGGTCTAAATAAAACATTGAGAACACATTTACCATTAAAGAGAGGAACTCTTGGCAGCTTAAGCTATGGAACATGCCTCTACCATAACTGCCTCAGAGACATTTCAGTTTCTAATACTGTTCGTAGTTGTTAGTTATTACTGCACAGGCTCTGGCTCATTGTGACCCTAGATCCAGCAAAACAAAAAATTACCTGGTCTGGCACCATCTTCACAATCTTTGACATATGTGAGTTCACTGTTGCCGCCTATTATGTAGTTCTTTCCAACCTAGGAGTTGGAAACTAATCTTCTAGCACTAGGTTGCTGTTGTTAAGTGTTACCAAGTCAGTTCCAACTCATAAAGACCAGGTATAGGGCTTCCAAAAGAGGCTGGTGGGTTTAAACTGTTGACCTTGAGGTTGCCAGTCGATTTCTACTATATCACAAAATATTGTTGTGATCCATATGTTTTATTTGCTAATTTTTAGAAGTAAATTGACAAATCTTTCTTCCCAATCTTTGTTAGTCTGAACATTCCTCTGAAACTTGTCCATTATAGATGATCCTGCTGGTATCTGAAATACTGATGGTATAGCTTCCAGCAGCATAGCCATCACATAAAACAGATAAGGAGTGATCAAGCACGTTAAGCTATCCTAAAAGCTACCATGACTGATTGATTGAGAACTCTTGAGTTAAATTTTTGGGAGGCCACAGCACAAGAATTACCTGCCAGATATGGTCTATGCAATTCCTCCTAGAATGGTTCAGCATTTTTGCCAAGCTCCTGGGAATTGTTCAGCTCAATCAAGCTGTGCAAACCTTACTATCAAATAGGATCTCAATGGACAGAAATCAATTTATTCAATAATTTAAGTAACCATTCGTAAACATCTATAAAATGTTTGTGATGCATTAGGTACATTCTAGTTTCCTTTATCACAACCTGTGTGTTCCAAAAGATTGAGTTACCTTAACTATATCCTACACATCTTGGTGCATTTAGTTCTGTGAGACTAAGACCTTACCACTCGCAAAAGTCCTTAACTTATACTCGTAAACAAAAGGAAGGAGAAATAACTGAAAAAAGTGAGTAGCAAGATATGAAGAAAAGACCATTTCTCATGAGTTCTAATTCATTGAGTAAGGAATTTCTTTTTCACATGTGAAATCCGCAAAGAGACATATCCTTAAATATTATGAATTAGTAACAGAATTTTGAAAATCAATCTTTTGAATGACATACTTTTTTTTTTTAAGTTCATGACTTATGTTTAAATTAGTCTGGACAATCTCAACCACATTTTTTTTTTTTTTAAATCTTCCAGGAAACTAAGAATCTTGAATCACGTGATGAATAATTTCTACAAACTAACAGTATAGAAATACTGCCAATATGGAAATGGAATGATAGGTCAGAGGAGTCCCTGGCTGGTGCAAATGGTTAACATATTTGGTTGCTAACTACAAGTTTAGAGGCTTGAATCTACCCAGAGGCAGCTCAAAAGACAGATTTAGTGATCTACTTTTGAAAAACCAGTCACTGAAATGCCTATCAAGACAGTTCTATTCTACCATGAGTTGGAATCAACTCTATGGTAAGTGGTGGTGTTAATATCAGTGGTAGGAGGACAGACTCAAAGGAAACACCTAATACAATGAACATTCTCTGCTTGCCCTTATGAAATTCTGCTTTTCTTAAGACTTTAATCTGGTTAGGCCAATGTTTTTCAAGCATGGGCTGAAGACAAGACTCTAAAAATTTGACCCAGTTTTGGGGCTTGGAAATTAAATTTTTAAGTTTCCTTTGAAATATTTAACATAAATATTTTACAGTAGCAAAAATATATTTTTGATGCAGGATTCTTCAATGAATTATGAACTGTTTTTGTTGGACTGTGAAGGAAAAATGAAAATTTCAGAAGCATTTTGAAAATATAGACATATAAAAAATAATAACAGAATTCCAGCCTAAAGAGGCTAGGTAGCCAGAGTAAATTTTTGTTACAGCTTATGATATGTTCCCATTGCTTAAGTTTAATCAGATGGGTTAAGGCATCACATACCTATCCTAGACAAATAAAAGAACATGCAGCCAAATGGTAATATCTCAAGAGTACTCCATTTTCATTGGTACAGTCTGGCACACAGGCCAAAGATTGTTAATTTTTATATCTTCACTGGGGTCATACGTGGGCTCATGCTTTAAAAATATAGGGAGACTTCTAACACTGTAAATTCTTACCTAATGGTGATTATTCTTGGGAACAAATTATGGATTAGAATGATTTGCATACTCAAATGATTTTCCTGGAGAAGAAGATGCCCCAGTCTTAATGTTCTTTGGTAGTCACGAGGAAGACATGTAATTTAAGCTATTCCTCTTTATTTCTTCCAATGTAGTTTTCTGACATAGAAAAATTCCTTGGCAAAAAAATTTTAGTAAGATTTATTTTTCTTTTAAAATAGAATGAGTTTAAGTGAGTTCTTCATTTTTTCATTCTCTATCTACTTCCTTGCCTTTTTTTGTGTGCCCATGTTCAAAGCTGGTGCTGCCTGGAGAAAATGAAGGAAGATCCTGAGATTTTTCAAGATGCTTTGGCTACTATTTATGCTATTAGACACTACTGCTGTGTCAGCAAGAGAATCATCGCGAATTGTGGGAAGTGAGATTTTACCATTGGCCCATATATTCAATAGAATAACATGTCATATTAAAAAACTAAGACAGAAGAAGAGACAGAGAAAGGAAGAGAGAAAGAAAGAAAGAAAATGATATTACACAGGAAGAAATATCTGCATTCTGGAGTCCAGGGACATCTGGGTTCCAAACTGCTGACTTTTCAGTTAGCAGTCCTGTTCTTAAGTCAATTGCTTACTTTCACTTACCCCTTTGGTTTCTGCAAATATACAAGGGGAGTAATATAACATCTTCCTCATAAGTCTATTGTGAGGATTAAAAGAGGTCTAGATATTGTTAATAGGATGAGTCATTATTATATAACATCGTAATAGAGATATTCTACCTGTGATGATCCATATCGATATATAACTGTCTTTAGATTCTTTATATTTACATATCCACTGTTCATAAAACTAGTGAAACCATATGACTGCCAATTAAGTGAAACAGGATGTCTATTGAAGTGGTTTAAAAAGGCAAACTAAAACTGGTAAGATCACTGACAGATCATTTAAGAGTTTAACCTAGGGGCACCCAACAGAGCCCTATTAGTAATCTGTGTAGTGCATATAGGTCCTCATAGCTGACTAGCTCTTTCTTTAAATAACAATGTGCCTTACTCACTTTATCTTTATGATTTGGGAGCTTATGAAATGTCCTAGTTAAGAGAATAATTCTATAGCTATAATTGGGTGATTAGTTGAACGTTTGATTGGACTGGAACTTTAGTAGTTTCCAACCTTACCAGAGATTTTTGCAAGGGATACAACTGAGCACAGAAGGGTGAAGGGACTTTGCCAAAATATCACTGCTAGTGAGTACCAGAAGAAAGCAACAACAGCAATAACAACAACAACCCCCCCCCCACAAAAACCAAACCTGTTGCTGTTGAGTTGCTTTTGTTCCATTGCAATTCCATAGGAGAGACTCGAACCACCCATAGAGTTTACAAGGCTGTATACGTTTTGTGGGGGTAGACCACCACATCTGTTTCCCAGAGAGCAGCTGGTGGGTTCAAACTGCTGACTTTTCAGTTAGCAGTCCTGTTCTTAATCACTGTGCCACCAGGGTTTCTTGTGAGTGATAGAACTAGGGTTAAACTCTACATCCTAGGTTGCTAATGTAATGTTCTTTCCACCACTCCTGTCAAGATGATATGACACTAAATTATACTCTGCAACAGGAAACTGGAGTTAACAGTTGTTTTGGTTTTTAACTATGTTGATCTGAAAGAGATCACATTAGAAGGTCTTGGACAGAGTGGGAGAAAATGTGGGAAAAACTCAAAATTACAAAAATGACCAGACTTACTGGTCAGAAAGAGATGGGAGGACTTCAAGACTATGGCCTTTAGTCACCCTTTGGTTCTGTAACTGAACTCATCCCTGTGACTCAATTGTCAGACAAGCAGTAGATAGGTATATAGAGGGAAAAAACAACACTAGTGAGGTATACACACCATAGAATGGTCAACCATTTAAGATTAGAAGGGCAGCATTTACCTATGGAAAAAATTCAGAAGAGTTGGGAAAGAAAGTGAAATGGAAACTAGTCACAGGGAGGTAGTTGGGTAACTGATGTTACATGGAGGGAATTGCAATCATTGACATGAAACAAAGTAAGATTTGTTGAATGTAAAGCCTATGGCATGCATTATAAACCTTCACTCAGTTCACAATAAAAAGGCAAAACAAAACAAAACCTGTGTATAATACATACATACCTGATAGGCGTCTACTACCAAATTATTGAGATTTGCAGCATTTGATTCTATTTGACTGGCAATGGTGCCAGGTAAGAGTGGTAGAAGATCCTATAAAACATATAAATTACATTTACAAAATGACAAGTAAGCACACCATGCATGGTTCAGCAATGAACAAATATCAACTTTTGTTCATTAAGAAATCAAAAATTATAAGAAACAAGGAAAATATAAGCAACTTAAGCAGTTAAAGCATATAAAGTATTTGAAATGGTTGTAGTTGTATAGGTGTATGTGCATGAGTGTGTGTGTGTGTACTATAATTACATGCTCATCTAATAAAAATCTGATTAAACTACAGACCAGAATTTTCCACAGTATCTTCCATGGATCGTAGTCCCAAGAGATTTTGAACATAGAAAGGCTTTTGAAGACAAAGTAATTTGGGAACGTCTGCATTTGTAGACTCAAAGTGCACATTTGAATACTAACAATTCTGAAAAGTCTTGTAATTAAGAAATAATTTAAGATTATTTAATGCAGTATTTCCTAACACTTTTCTTACATATTATATTTAAATATTTTACAGAAATGATGTAGTGCTGTAGGATCAGCACTGGACTGTGAACCACAAGGTCTGCAGTTCAAACCCAACAGCTGCTCCTCAGAAACTCTACACAGGGTTGCTGTAAGTCAGAACCAGCTCAACGGCACTTAACATCAGTGTCTATGTGGAGCGCTAGTGGATTACTTGTTGGACTAAATGAAAGGTCAGCAGTTTGAATCCACCAGTTGCTTCACGGAAGAAAGATGAGGCTTTCTGCTCCAAAAAGATTCACAGCCTTGGAAACACTATGCAAGTTTGTTATGTGATGGAACCGTCTCGCTAGCACACAACAACAACAACAAAGTCTATGCATTGATCTTTAGTACCTACTGGCCTAAATCAGAGGAAAAGACATAATAACTAGTGGAAGGTTCATGAAGCAGGTGCTCTTGATGGAGGACACTAAATAATTATGGAGAAAACTCTAGGTGTTCCTAGTGAGAAAATGAGAATGAATGAAGGTATAGAGGTTTACCTGAGTTGTACATGAAGAATTGAGAAAAGACAAGACTGATAGTAGTGAAATGTACATATTTGTATGGAAATAGATGATGAAATATTTTGCAATCCATTTATTCACTAATTTTACCCTTCACCCCTCAAAAAACCAAACCAGTTGCCATTAAGTTGATTTCAACTCATAATGGTAAACTCCTTGTGTTTCAGAGTCGAACTGAGCTCCATAGAGTTTTCTGGGCTGTAATGTTTATGGAAGAAGACTGCCAGGACTGTTGTCCATGGACTGGCTGGGAGGTTCAAATCGTCAAGCTTTTGGTTAGCAGCCAAGTGCAAACCAAGGACCTATTGTTGTTGTTAAGTGTCATCAAGTTAGTTATGACTCACAGTGATCCTGGATAGAGTTTCTTAGGAACAACTGGTTAGTCTGGACCTTTGACTTTGCAGCTAGCTTATCCTACAGCACCACATATGGATCTACTAGGCACTAACATTTCGATATCTTGGGTAACAAGGAAAATATATCACTTATGGATTTAAAACATTGCTTTCTCTAACCTTTATTAAGCACCTATTGTGAACTGCTTTGGAGATGCTAAATCGCTAGGTAACATAACTTCCATTTTTCAGGATCCCACAAGTATTATTGCAGTGTAGTCAATGATTCATAGGACTCTTCTACCATAGTCTCTGTAATTTCCACCAAACAGCATTTTGCCCTGTTGGGTCTGGGTATGGAAAGGTAGGAGAAGATGCTGATAGGATTATATGATTCAGTTGTCAATGGTTAGCAAAGTTAATTGAGATTGTAAAACATGGAACTCTATCGTGCATAAAATGAACCATTTCAGAAGTAAGAATGGGGGAATCTCACTATCATCAAAGAAGAAGAGACAAGAATGGAACAAATCCTTTGGACCTCAGCATTACTGCTCATTGCATCTCTTCAACTCAAAGACAGAAAGTTGTATCATCAGCGGAGTGGCAGAGGAGCAGCAGCAACAGAACCAAGAGCCAGAGAATGAGACAAAAAAGTGGGCTTCCCAGGCTACGGACCAAGTAAAACCAAGTGACTGTGGACAAGAGGTTTGTTTGCAGAGTGGGATGCCTCCAGGTTCTTAATTGGTGGTGCTAGGTTTGCTGACCAGCAAAGCTAGAGCAAAGTGCCTTCAGCCTGAGGCTTATGGTAGAGTGTTGCATCTGTGGCATTTACCAACAACCCTAAAAATGCTTTGTAACACTGCCAAGACATGGCTGAGACAAGGCAGTCATGAATGGAAGAACTATGCCTTGAACATTTCTTATCCTGAATTGAATCTGTTAATTTCCCTAATAAACCCCATAACTGTGAATATGGTGTCTGAGTTGTATGTAGCTGTTGTAGTAAACTATCAAACGCAGCTGAGTTGAGAGTTCTGTGGGAGGAATGGTTGGTGTCATTTTTTTTTGCAATTATAAATGGCAATTTCTAGACATGAAACAATGGAGCTAGGAATAGACCCCAATGAAAGGGACATTCAATGAGCACTTGAGGGGCTGGCAAAGGTTGCCAGGGATGTTTCTGTGTCAGAGATGACTCATGAGCTGTGACTTACGGATGAATAAGGAGTCCCAGGGTGTTGCAAACAGTTAAGCACATACAACTAGCCTAAAGATCAGTGATTTGAATCTGTCCCAGAGAGGCTCAGTGACCTGTTTCACAACCTTAGAAATCCTACAGAGCACTTCTACTCTGTACACATGGGAATCGACTTGAGGATAACTGCCAACAACAAGAAGAGTTAACCCGAGTCAAGTGAATGGTGCAAAGGGTTAACTGTGCTTGACTGCTAAATGGAATTTCGGTGGTTCAAGTCCACCCAGCGTCATCTCAGAATAAAGCCTTGATGAGCTACTTCTGAAAAATCAGTCCACTGGAAAGCCTATGAGGGCCTAGGGGCACTCTGTGTACCACAGTCTACTTAGAAACACACGGACTCACCACTGCTTGGAACCAATTGAATGGCAATCGGTTTTAAAGATTATCTGAGTACTGAGAGTGAAAGACATCCAGAAATGGGAGCCGGAAGCAAAGGCACAGGGGAAAGAAATAGCCTGGTGAGTATGTGTGCAATGGAATGTCACAAGAATCTTTGAAGAGACTTGGAAAAATCAGGAAACGGAGGGGAACGAGGCCAGGGAGGTAAGCAGGCATTGTTGTTGCTGTTCACTGCTTTTGAGTCAGTTCCAACTCATAGTGACCTTGTGTAGGGTTTCCGAGGAGTGGCTGGTGGGTTGGAACCACCACCTTGTGTTTCAAATTGACCTTGAGGTCCAGTGCTTATCCTATAGTGCCAAATCAAAACTCCTTCATCTTCTTGATGCTCTTGTTGTTCTTGTTAAGTGCCATCGAGTCAATTTCGACTCATAGCAACTCTATATAGTTTCCAAGAAGTGGCTGGTGAGTTTGAACCAATGACATTGCGACTGAAATTATGCTGTGATACAGTGCTTATACTACAGCACCACACCATACTTTAGTCTCTTTAGAGTGCCTTTAAAAAATAAAAAAATAAAAAAAAAGGTCCAATCAAAACAGTGGCTTTCTGGGGGATCTGTGGGTCAGTTAAATTCTAGACACAGAGGTTAACTCTCAAAAGGTTATGGCAACTGCTTTTTGGAGTACAGTCATCACATCTGTCATTTAAATAGATTTTTCTGGCACCCAGATGGAGATTAGATTAGGGAAATTTGTTACCAGGCTGTTACAATCTAAAAGCAGATTGATATTAAGACATCTGAGCAACAGAATTGATGGTTTTCTGGGGCATACATGGGTTAAGAGCTCAGGATTTGGGTTGCTAGGAAATTTAGAGCAAGTATTTGACCTCCCTAAATGTGTTTTCTCATTTTTAAGGTGGGTATATTATAAAGTGACCCTTGTTGCTATGAGTTGTTATGCACATTAAATGAGTTACTGTTCATTATCTCAGTGCCTGCCAATAATAAATATCCAATAAAGGAAAGTTGTTCCTGTTGTTAATAAAATTATTTGGATCATTTAATTTGGACCAGAGTCCTAAAAGGGAGCCATGGTAAAAACATTTTGAAAACATGGAATTAAAGCTTCACTACTAATTTTAAAGGAAAGGAGTTATATGATTAAATAATGAATTTGGATCACAAATATGGCAGCGGGCATGGGGGAAATTAGAGAATCGAAGAACAGCTTTGTGGCAATTTACAAAAGGGTACAAAATTTGTTGAAACCAAAAGAAAAAGAAAAAAAAAGTAGTTTCACTGAAGAATTAAAAAAGTAAATAAAAGGCTCTGGGGATTTTAAGTTGAGGAAGATTTATACTAATGGAGGAGAAAAAAGAAGCAAAGGTCCCAACAGAGATGAGGGAGATTTAGTGAGCAAAGATGCACAATGCAAATTAGGGCATTGCAGGGTCATGAATGTAAAAAATAGAGAGATCCCATGAAGAGAAATCCTAAAGAATGTAAGAAGGAAGCTATAGCAGGATTGCAGAACAGTTCTAGGCTGGGGGCCCAAGGGACCTCCAGAGTTGCATAAGAGCTGAATGTCTAGTCAACTTGTGGATGTCTCCTGGATTCTGGGCACCAAAGAGATTATTCTTACTTAAAGAGTTCTGAATGCCTCAGCAATTGCTTCCCTGGCTCTTCTTGCTTCTTTATATTATGACCTAGAACAAATCTAGATATGTTGGTACTTCTGAAAATTAGGATGACATTCCCCAAACTTAACCAGCTAACAGCTATGCCCAAGGGTCAGAGTATAAGCAAGGCTCTGGACATGAAAGGTACAGGGGTAAAGCATAGGCTAGTTTCCACCTGATAAGTTTTCTTCATATGTTAACAATCAGTTAACAACCTTGAGTGGAGTCCTGGTGTAGCATTGTAGCATAAGCACTCAACCGCAAGTTTGATTTGAACCACACGATTGGTGGTTCACATTCACCAGTTGCTCCTTGGAAACCCTATACAGGGTCGCTATTCATCAAACAGATTCAATGGCACTTAACAACAACAGCAACAACAACCTTGAAAATCAGGCTATATAATGAATATTATTCTCAAACAGCATTTAGTGTACCTACTTGGTTCAAGGTACAAACAAAACAGACGGAATTCGTTTTTTAATGCTAGCTAAAGTAGAAGTCCTAGTGTGGCACTGTGGCGCCATACTGGAAAGCTGTTTGAATTGTAAGGTCGGCAGTTCAAGCTCACCAGCTGCTCCTTGGAAACCCTATACTGGGTAGCTATGGGTCAGAATTGACTTGATGACACTTTAGTAACAACAGCAAAGTAGGATAAGCTCTTGACTGCAAAGTTGGTTTGAACCACAAGGTCATTGATTCCAACTCACAAGCAGTTCCTTGGAAACCTTATACAGGGTCACTATGAGTCAAAACCAACTCGACAGAACTTAACAACAATACAGACATATATGCTAGTCTATGCAGTATTAAATTTAGATTGTACAAAGTATAATAATTCCAGAATTCTTAACTGCGTTTCTAAGAAGTATCCTAATTTCAACTATCAATGTAAGGATTTAATCTTTGTGTTTTGGGAGAATGAACATACCTTATACCAATGAAACTGTTTCCCTTGAACTGCAAAAATGACATTGATGTTGTTGTCTATTAACTTCTCTGAAAGTTGGCCTAGGGAGGGGTGTTCCTGAAAGAGAAAATGAAGGAACGAAGGTGAGTTTTAGTAGTTTGATTTCATATAGAACCGTGTATCAAAAATTAAGAAAACCAAATGACAAGCTTAAAAATGTACTTTCTAGGAAAATATTATGGTTTTTCTAACTCTCTACTACTGAATTAATTCTGACTCAAAGATCCAGCTGGACAGAGTTGAACTGCCCCTAAGATTTCCAAGGTTGTAAAGCTTTATAGATGCAGACTGCCACATCCTTCTCCCCAGGTGCTGCTGGTGGCTTCTAACAGCTGACCTTTGGGTTAACAGCTGAACACTAACCCACTAAGCCACCTGGGCACCTATGAGTCTACCTCTTAAATTATTTTAAAAATTAATAGCACCATTCTATAGCTGTTTTAAAGATAAAGCCACCAGAGAAACCTATAACTGTGACCTATAAGAAAAAAAAGGCAAAATTCAAAATAGTACTAAGAGTGGTCAGCATTTCTTTAGATGAACATAAGTAGTAGCAAAGTGACATAATTGAAAATGAATGGAATTTTTAGAAATAAAGACACATTCGCAGAACTCACACTCTCAGGCAGAATTCAGGAATAAATATTGAAATACCATAAAGATGTAAATTGTTTAGGGGCTAAACACCCTGTACTTGAATGCCAGATTTGCTACTTTACTATCAAAATTCTACCTGAGTTCCATCTTCTGCAAAATGGAATGATATCATCTGCCTTCCTGATTGCTGGGAAGTTTAAAAAGATGATGATGTTGTTGTTGTTAAGTGCCATCGAGTTGGTTCTGATTCAACAACTCTGTATAGGGTTTCCAAGGAGTGGCTTGGAAACCGACCTCGCAGTTCAAACCAACTTTATGGTTGAGTGTGTATCCTACGGTGCCAGACCAGGACTCCAAAAAGATGACAGTATATGTAACTATTTAGTTCAGTTCTTTGTATATAGTTGCTGTTGCTGTTGTTCAATGTCACCAAGTGACCCAATTCGGATTCACAGTGACCTCATGTGACAAATTAGAACAAACATGTAAGGTTTTCTTGGCTGAAATTTTTTTTAAAAGTTTTTTATTGTGAATTATGTGATCGTCTACATGGGAGAACATTAGCTTTACATTCATCCTATTGTGTATCATTTCACTTCCATGGTTACAATCCCCTCCATGCATCATCAAACAACCAAAGGGTACACCCCACAAGCCTGCCCCGTGGTCGTCAGCACACAGTCCCTCTCCCTTTTTGGGTCTAGAGTCCCCAACAACTCCATCTCTCCACTCATCGTCTCTGCCTCCATTTCTGGTGTCACTGCTTCTTCTCTGGGTAGGGTCCCACACTATGGTCTTCTCCCTTGATGGTCCCAGGGACATCTGCTCCTGGACTGCAAAGTCAACCACTCCCCTCTTTTTGCTACAAAATGTCTACCTTTACATTTCCAACCCTCACAGTCGGTCCTGATAACAATTATTCACTATTGTACCACAAGAGTCCTATCCCCATTTCCTTTAATTAGCCCCACCCAGACAGAGTGGATACTACTCAGTGGAGAGTCTACCTTGCTCCACACCCCCTGGATCTAGATTTCCTCTTGAAAGCTTGTAAGCCAGTCACTTCTTGCCTTTGTAGCCCCCCTCCCCCTATTTTGGGTAGCCAATGTCCATGTTGCCCATCCTTGTCTACCTTGTTTACCAAGATGGTGGGAATAATCCTCGCTATAAAGATTTGTTCCCTCTTTTGAGCTACTGAATCCATAGGTGTAGGTCAAGTTCATCAAATTGTATCAGATTACTCCTTTTTTCCCTCTTCTTTCTTCTTCTAGTCAAGTTCTAATCATCTAGCTATTGAAGCCAGGTCGAGTGGGTATTATCTGCAAGTGTGGGTGTTCTCTTGTGTAAATGCCCTCACTTCTTATCAACTGGACACTTCACTTGGCTGTCATTTTTACCAAAGGAGACTATCAGGTCTTTCTCCTACAGAGTCATTGGGTAAGTTTGAACTGCCAATCATTTGGCTAGCAGCTGAGTGCTTGATTGTTGTACCCACAGGGCTCCTTTTGCATACAGTAGGTATTCAAACCACCACTTGACTGTCAGTTCGTTTTGCTGTGGTGGCTTGTGTATAGTGATACTGGAAACTATGCCACCAGTATTTTAAATATCAGCAGGGTCACAAAGGAGAACAGGTTTCAGTAGAGCTTCCAGACTAAGACAGACTAGGAAGAAGGAAAGGCAGACCATTTCTTAACTGTTAGCCACTGAAAACCTTATGGCTTGCAGCAGAACATTGTTTGATATAATGTCAGAAGGCAACCTCTCAGGTTGGAAGGCAAACAAAATAAAACTGGGAAAAAGCTGTCTTCTCAAAGTAGAGTTGACCTTAATGATGTGAATGGTGCATAACTTTTGAGACCTTCTTTTGGTCATGGGGCACTACTCAAAATGAGAAGAAACAACAGCAAACATCCATTAATAATCAGAACATGCAATGTATGAAGTACAAATCTAGGAAAATTGAAACTTATCAAAAGTACAATGTAATGCAAAAATACCAATATCGTAGGTGTTAGTGAGCTGAAATGAACTGGTATTGGCCACTTTGAATCTGACAATCACATGGTTTATTAGGCTGGGAATGACAAGCTGAAGACAAATGGCATTACATTCATGATCAAAAAGAGCATTTCAAGATGTAACTTGAAGTATAATGCTGTCTGTGATAGGATACTATCCATATACCTATAAAGAAGACCAGTTAATACCTCTATTATTCAAATTTATCCACCAACCACTAAAGCCAATGATGAAGAAATTAAAAAATTTGACCACTTTCTTCAGCCTGAAATTGATCAAACAAGCAATCAAAATGCATTGATAATTATTGATGATTGGAATGCAAAAGTTGGAAATGAAGAAGAAGGATCAGCAGTTGGAAGATGTGCTCTTAGTGATAGAAACAATACTGGAGATCATATGATAGAATTTTGAGAGTTTACAAATACCGTGTTTCAACAATATAAACAGTCACTATACATATTAATCTCACCAGAGGAATGCACAGGAATCAAATCAAATCTTCTGTGGGAAGAGATGAAGAAGAAGCTCAAGCTCGTCAGTCAAAACAAGGCCAAGGAGCTGATTATTTTCAGGCTAAAGATGAATAAAATTAAAACAAAGTCTAAGAAAGCCAAAAAATGGTCTTAAGTGAATCTCTCCTGAATTTAGAGACAATCTCAAGAATAGATTTAATACATTAGGCAATAATGATGGAAACCAGTGGAATTGTAGGATGACATCCAGAACATCATATATAAGGAAAGCAAATGATCACTCAAGAAAAACAGGACAAAAAAAAAAAAAAAAGACCAAAATGGATGTCAGAAGACACTGAAATTTGCTCTTAAATGCAGAGAAACTAAAGCAGCTGGAAGAAATGATATACTTTGAATAGAAAATTTCAAAAGGAAACTCAAGAAGACAAAGTCAAGTATTATAATAAAATGTGCAAAGACCCGGAGTCTAAAAACCAAAAAAGGAGAAACACGCTCAGCCTTTCTCAAGCTGAAAGAACTGAAGAAATAATTATAGTCTAGCATAGTGGTTACAAATCGGGATGCGAACTGCAAGGTTAGCAGTTCAAAACTACCAGCTGTTCCACGGAAGAGGAGGCTTTCTGCTCCCATAAAGATTTATGGCCTCAGAAACCTTGTACAGGGTCATTATGAGTCAGAAATGACTCCATGGCACATAACAACAACAACAACAACAACAAACGTGCAATATTGAAAGATTCTATGTGGTAAATATTGAATGAAGCTGAAAACATCAAAAGAAGATGGAAGAACTGTCAATGTTCAACCAACCATTTCAAGAAGTAGCATGTGTTCTAGAACCAATGGCATTGAAGTATAAGTCTAAGATGGGCTGAAGTATTGGAGAAAAACAGGTTCTAGGAGTTGACAGACTACCAATTGAAGTATTTCAGTGAACTGATGCAGCATGGTGGCACCCATTCATTCACTTACAAGCAGCTACCTGGTCAACCAATTGGAAGGAATCCATATTGTGTCCGTTCCAAAGAAAGAGGACCCAACAGAAAGTTAAGGAAAAAATCAAACAATATCAATAATATCGCATGCAAGTAAAATTTGCTGAGGCTGATTTTAAAACGATTGCAGCAGTTCATGGACAGGGAGCTGCCAGGAATTCAAGCCAAATTCAGAAGAGGACATGGAATTATGTATATCTTTGCTGATGTCAGCTGGCTCTTGGCTGAAATCAAAGAGTACAAGAAAGATGTTTATTTGTGCTTTATTGACTATGCAAAGGTATTCTACTATGTGGGCCATAACAAACTGGGTAACAATGTGAAGAATCAGAATTCCAGAACACTTTATTGTGCTTATGATGAAACCATACATAGACCAAGAGGCAGTCATTGGAATAGACCAAGGAGATATTGAATGGTTAAAATTAAGTAAAGGTGTGCATCAGGGTTGTATCCTTTCACTAGATTTATTCAATCCATGTACCAAATAATCCAAGAAGCTGCATTATATGAAGATGGACATGGCATCAGGATTGGACAAAGACTCATTAACAGACTGTGGTATGTAGATGACATAACCTCGCTTGCTGGAATCAAAAAAGACTTGACATATTTACTGATGAAGATCAAAGACTACAGCATTCAGTACAGATTGAAACTCAATGTAAAGAACACAAAAGTCCTCACAACTAAACCAATAAATAACATCATGATAAACGGAGAAAAGATTGAAGCTCTCAAATATTTCATTACTTGGATCCACAATCAGTGTTCATGTTTGGTAAAATGAAGGGGTGATGAAACTAGGAAGACTTCCAATGAGATGGACTGACACAGTGCTAACTACTAGGCTCAAACATAAATATTGCAAGTATGGTGAAGACTGTTTCATTATGTTGTAGTTATGTTCGCTATGAGGCAGAGAACCAACTCGATGGCACCTAGTAACAACAAGAAGAGGTAT